CCAAGGACTGAACCCCTGCACTGTAAACGTCTCCCTGTACAGTGTTCCCCTAAAGCCCCTGGCACAGCAGGTAGTCAACATGGCAGCATAGAGGATGGGAAAGGGTTGTGCAGGGTAGAATGCCACACCATGAGGTTAAAGTTTAAGATTATGAAGAGGGAAATACAGTTTCAGCATCCTGGCAGAGAGCAACAGTTAGAATCCACCAGATACAAGTGCTCCCACAGTTTAGGGGTTTTATTTCAAGTCCATCTTGCAAGGCCAGAGACGCGACGGGGAGAACGGAGGCTCCATGCGCTCCCACGGCACACCCATGTCCTCACTCATGGTGGGAGTAGGGTGGGGGGGACACACCATCATTGCACAGACAAGGAAACACAGGCCCACTCACTGTAAGCTGGGATCTGGACACCGGTCCCCTTATTTTGACTACCACATTTTTTCCCACCAAAAATACTTTGCTACACCAGGAATGCACGTTATCAGCCCCAGCTGGAAAAGGCTGGCTTCCAACTAACCTGCCCATCTTCGCAATATGCGTGTCCCCCCCGCCCCGCGCACACACACACAGAGCACATTTTCTCCATCCCTCCATCAGGGTTAATTCCTTCTTTCTTAAAGCTCCAGGAGCCTGTGGCTTCCCCACCAACCAGCTCTCTCTGATGAGTGATGAGGCCGCCCACCCTGCCTAGCAGAGGCCCTGGTTAGATAATGCACATGAAAGCACTTCATAAAAATTTTTAAAAAGGACATTTCAACATCCTGACTTCTCAGCTTCTTTCATGTAAATGCTACCTCTATTCCTGCAGCACCTAGTGCTTGGAGCAAAATACATTCTGACACAAAAACTAAGCAGCTACCATGGAGCAATGCTAGGTGACGTCATAACATCACCTCATTTAATACTTGCAAGAGCTCCGTGAGATTGGGGTTATTGCCACTATTTAGCAGATGAGAAAAATGAGGCAGAGCGAGGTTAAGGGTCTTGCCCAGGATCTACCCAGCATTTGACTGCAAACTTGATAAACATGAGGACTTTATTATTTTATTCATGGCTATCTGGGACTTAGTAGGGCCTCTGCAAATAGTTGCTGAGTTTTCTAAACTGTAAAACTAATGCCCCTGTCAATGGTATAGCAGGTCCCCCAACAATGTTGTTTCATTATAATGTTAATGAGATGCCCTAGGAACTTAACTTTTGTTTATGTCAATTAGCCTACCGTAAAATTGGTTTTGTTATCCTCTCAACGTCTTGTATAGGACGTACTGTACAAGAATTGTATTCCCTGAATATCTGCTTTCAAGTTTGCGGACTAGAACTTTTCTGGGAGAGAAAACTGTTACCTGAGATCTCCTTGTGGAATTCGGGGAGCCCTCAAGGGCAGAGCTGTGCCCTGGTGGTCTCCCAGCACAGGGCTTGGCCTGGTAGGCCCCACTCAAACCTCCCTGCAACAATGTGACCTGGTTGCAGCCATGATACAGAACTCAATCGTGAGGAGGCAGTGGTGTAGTCACTTAGTCACACCTCCACCATCATTTTTTCATATCTACAAACCCTCTGAACTCTTACATCCTTAATATTTTTAATTAAATTAAGTCACCTTTTTAATTAAACTTTCTTAAAAGGAAGCTTTATGGAAGGTTAAAAAAATCAATAAAATAAAAACAGTAAAATCAAGCTGGATACTGTCTAGAAATATATACAGTAAAACCTTGGATTGCGAGTAACTTGTTCTGAGAGTGTTCCGCAAGACGAGCAAACATTTCTAATAAATTTTAACTTAATAAACGAGCGATGTCTTGCAATATGAATAGTATGTGACGCCGAACGTCACATGATCACAACTGAGCCAATGGTTCTTCTCTCTCTATCTGCGGGAGTGTGGGAGATCGTCTCCCATGCTCGGAGGTTATGGAGGAGATCTCCTCTGCAGAGGAGGAGAAAAAGGCAGAGGAATCCCTCACTTCAAATGAGATTAGGGAGATGTGTAAAATGTGGGAAAACAGTGCAAAATTTTGTAGAAAAGCACCACCCGAATAAGGCTGTTGCAGTGCGAGCGATGAATCTGTTTAACGATAATGCAATGTCACATTTCTGCGAAACCCTCAAAAGGAGGCAAAAGCAGTGTCATTGGATAGGTTCCTTGTTAAAGTTGCACGAATAAAAAGATTCCACTGAGCCAACAGATAGCAGTGATTCCGTTAGTGACAGTGAAATCCGTCCTACACAATAACCCTCCTCTCTCTTGTCTCCCTCACACCAGCCACGAAGGTTTTCAAAGGTAAATGCAGGTTAATTTATTTTTCTTTATATTTTGTATTTTCTTTATTGTTTTGCATTATAATCATTTTTATATGAATATTTTTGGGTTGTAGAATGAATCATCTGAGTTTCCATTATTTCTTATGGGGAAATTCACTTTGATATACAAGTACTTTGGATTACAAGCATGTTTCTGGAACGAACTATGCTCGCAAACCAAGGTTTTACTGTATTTGGTTTTCGTCCAGAGCTCATAAAACCTTTGGAAATCCCTAAATGATAAGAGATAAAGGAGTCTTCTGTTATTCAAAATAAGCCCCTTTCTACCAGTTTACATTACTAACTTAATTTTGGAAAGCCCCTAAGGATGGGGCTAGTAGCCAAGGGAACCAACACTGTGATTAAAGGGTTAGAACTTTCAGCCTCATCCTTGACCTCCAGGGAGGAGAGGGGGGCTGAAGGTTGAATTAATCCCCAATTCCCAGTGATTTAATCAATCGTGCCCACATAATAACCCAAAAGGATGGGGTTTGGAGAGCCTCAGGGTTGCTAACCAGGTGAAGGTGCCAGACAGTGGGGTGCCTAAAGAGGGCATGGGAACTCCGGGCCCTTCCCCGTCCCTTGCCCTATGAACCTCTTCCGTTTGGCTGTTCCTGAGTTGGGCGAGTATCTGTTAGAGAGTGAAATGCTCCAGCCTGCACTTCTCCATGGCCTTCAGGCTAACAGCTCCTGCTACAGGTACACTAGTTACCTAAAGAAGTTCTACTTCAGGTCTGAGTATTTTGCAAAAACAGCCCCTTGTCTGAAGGTGCCTCTCCTAAAGAGCTGGTAAATTATGTACAAAATAACAACTGTTTAGCAAAGATTTATGGGAGCCTCAAGACCCCGTCTCAGATCAGCGGGGGTCAATGGCCCTACTGGGGGAGATTTATTTAGAGACTTCACTCTCCCTTGGATCCCAGTGGGCACTTAGCTGTCTCCAGTCCTCACCCACCTCTTGCCCCGCCCCTTCTCCCTTCCCTTCACATAAAAGGGCTGAATTTGGGGCGCTCCTAATGTAAGCATGACGTATACTTTTAAGGATTTAGCAATCTAACTTGGTTTACTGAATTATAGTTGGATTTATTTTGTAGTTTGTTATTTTTTTCCTCTTCCTTGTTTCTCTCCCTCACTGCTGGATTTAACTGCTCCGCTTTCCCAAGGCCACATGCATACCTGGTTAACCTAGCTAATCAGCAAAACACTAACTTGCAAGCAACTGAGTCAGGTGTCTAGACGCTGGCAACCAGGCTGCAATTCTGGATTGCAATTTTCTGTCAGACGACATATGAATCACCCATAAGACCGGGTTTGAGATAACCATCGCAGAACCAATGGGGGACCCCAGGAGATGTTCTTCCGGACAAGTCACAAGACTAACTCCCCATTTTATTTGTTCTGCTTCTTCTTGTGTGCCTATAAAACCTTCTGACTGTTCTAGGAACAGGGTGATGGCCTTTGGACAGGAATCCACCATCCTCCTGGCGCTTTCAACAAACCTGCTTTTCTTTCCACCAACCTCGTCTCTCCATTAGATTACTGGCTTATGAGCCGCAGGCAGCCGAACCTTAACCCAGTAACACTAAGATGAATTCGCGGCAGTGTTAAGCTCCCCATCTTCTCAAGCTGGTGCCTTCTCGATCAATAAATCTTTCCTTATTCCAAACTCTGACATTTTGAGTTTTGGCCCTTTGAAGTGTCGGGCACACAAACCTTGAACTGGTAACTTCTCCTTTCATAATAAACTGCTAACTTAGTAAGTAAACTCTTTTCCTGAGTTCTGTGAGCCACTCTAGCAGATTAATCAAACCTGAGGAGGAGGTATGGGAACCTCTGATTTATAGTTGGTTGGTCAGAAGCACAGATGACAACCTGGACTTGAGACTGGCATCCGAAGGGGGTGGGGAGCCTCGTGGGATTGAGCCCTTAACCTGTGGGATCTGACGCTAACCTCAGGCAGATAGTGTCAGACCCAGGTGATTTCAGGAGGGTTAGAGAATTGCTTGCTGTGGGGAAAACTTCCCCCACATCTCGTCACAGAAGTATTGGGAGTAGAGGAAAAAAAACAGTTTTCCTCTTATACTGTCACTGCCCAAAGCTCTAAGCCTGAGGTAGCTCTTTTCATTTAAAAAAAGAAATTAGCAAGTGATAGGGAATAAGGACATATTAGTACCAAACTGCAATTCTCTCCTTGTCAGTAATGAAAAGGATTGAGAGGAAATTATAAAAGGAGTAATTGTCTTGCTATATGTTCCTGTGCAAACAGCACCTCTATGATCCCATCTGTTTACAAAATGGAAAGGTCATGCTGGAGCCTGGAGTAAATGAAAACAGTGCCAGCTCCAGCTCTGCTTGGGTGGATGACCTCGGCTAGAGCCTTCCACATCCCTGAATCTTAGGTTATCTTATCTGTAAAATGTGCCTTCTGCTCTGTATGGTCCCTGTGAGGTTCAAGTAAGACAGACATAAAAGGACCTTGCAAACTCTAAAGTGCAGTGTAAATATAAGACAGATTTGAAGCATCGTCTGTCTACAACAAGGCAAAAGCCAAGACGTGACCCCAAATGCTGCAAGGAAGCTGTGCCTCTTACTGGCTGAGTCCTGACCAAGGCCTAAGTACAGAATGCTTCTTGGATCAACGGAGACTTCCGAGCACTCCAGATTGCTGAGAAAGAGGGATCCCAAGCAGTTTACTTACGTTGGCTGAATTTTGGTAAACTCAGGGATTTCATCTTTTTTCTTTCTGAAGAGGAACCAGTAGGTTAGGAGACCCACAATGAGTGAAAACAGAATCATGTCCGTCATGCTGAAAAGAGACACTTCTTCAGCCACTGTCTCAGAGGTGGTGGCGCTGGTATCTATGTTGGAGTCCTCCATGATGACCAAGAAACTGTCGGGAGGGAAAAATGACAGACTTCAGTAGGGAGGAGGAGGGTCCACCTGAGGCCTGCAGGGGAGCCCCCTCCCTGAGAACTTCAGGCTGGGCCTCCTGCCCCAAGGGCTGAAGGAATAAGCCAGGACAGAAGCTTCCTTCTCAGCAAGCCCCCCGCCCAGACATGGACGTAGGCCTGAATGGGCACTAAAAGAGCAAGCGGTCCTCGTGGGTCAGCCAAGCCAGCCCAGGGTGGACCTTAGCTGTAGGCTATGGCTGGAGCTAGGACTGGGCCCCCTGCAGACAGAGAATAGAAGCCACAGACTCCCAGGACCATCAAGCATCCTCCAGCCACACAAAGACACAGCAGAGGGGCTGGTTCCACGTGAGAGGGGACCACTTCACCACAAACCCTTTCCCCAAATGTGCGGCAGGCTGGGGTTGCCCCAGACTCTGCACATTCAGGTCTTCAGGACAGACAGGCTCCTGGGAAATAACCTGAGCTCTTGGAACATGTTGCCTACTAAGAATGTCTCTGTACACGCAGACAGTTGATGCCAGCAACGTAAGTAAGTGTGAATACTTGGGACTCTGAATCACCTCATATCAGTGTGACCTCTGGGGTGCTGGAGGCTAAGCAAGCTTAGAGACACTGGCGCTCCACACCTACAAGACTGACTCTTGAAAAAACCCTGGACACCAGGCTCAAATGAGCCTCCCCGCTGGCCATACTTCATACGCACTGGCACACGCGGTTGCCGCGAGAATTAAGTGTTTGTCCATGTGACTCCACTGGGAGAGAACTGGAAGCTACAAAGACAGGCTTCCTGGTTTCTCCTGGCCTCTGCCCTATGGAGCTTTCTCCTATGCTGATTTCAGTCGGTACCTTCTGCCGTAATAAACCATAACTGGGAGTAAAACAGGTTTCTGGAGTTCTGTGAGTCCTGGTGAGTCACTGAATCAGAGGGTGGTCTTGTCACACCAACCTAGTTAGTTCCCTTGAAAGACGCTCAGCTGGCCCTTCTACCACGGAAACCTGGCAGGTAGGTGGATCTGATATGAGTCAACACAGGCCAAAGTAAAAGTACATGCAACCTCGGAAGTCTGCTTCTGTCACTTAACAACGAGGCTGGATTCAGCTCTGGCACTGCATCATTCCATTTTGCTATCACTGCTTTTACCAACTGTGCTGCTTTCACCACACCCAAGACTCCCAGACTCAGTCAGGAATGCCTGTCATATCTCAGCAACTCAAGCAATAGACGATTACTTCATATCTGACTTCTGTTAGCTGACACTGCCTCCAGGAAACCACAGGGCCGGCCCTGAGCAGCTCGAGCACCCCGAGCACCCCAGCATCTGAGGGCTCCTGGCATCAGCCTACCCTCCTGCAACCTACTGGGAATGGGCCACTCAGAAAGGGCCCTCAAGCTTCATTCTTTATTTTCTCATTCATCTGAGGTGCTGTCTAATGGCTAAGTTCCGGAGATAAACACAGCCTTTTCCTTTTGATATCTTATGTTAAAGGACAAACCTAACTCTAGTGCCCACAGAGGGTATTGTTTATATTTAAGTATTAATTTATAAACACATTTAATATTTACTCAGTGTTAGTCCTGTCATTCTTTCCAACCTTGTCAGTCATCTGTCACGCCCACAAGCCTTCTGTCAAGCTCTCACAAAACCATGGAGAGAGAGGACCTGCTGGGGTGGATTCATGGATTCCGGAAGGACCACAAAACCATGAGGCAGCAGACACTCAGAGCCCTGCTGGTCTGGCCAGAACTAACGTGGTGACATGGGAAAGCCCCCAACTGGCATCCCTCAAAGAGCAGCACTCAGTGGACACCCGCTCCCTGTCCCGCCGCCCTTCCAACTCAGGTTGCCCTGACCCCTTATTTTATCAGGGGGGAGCTAACGCACATGAAGCTAAAAGACTGTTGACACATACGCAGGTTGACTGGCAACTCAAGAGAAAGCTCATTCCTGGCGGGTGATTTCTGAGCAATGGTGTGCTGGAGGGCAAGGGAGACTGTGGTATGTGCTCACACAACCCCATTCTTTCAATATGTTTGGTTCAAGCCACCCAGACTGCTGCAATAGACTCCTAATAGGCCTTTCTCCTCACGATAGCCAGAGGGATCCTTTGAAAAAGTAAGTCAGATCATGCCACCTCCCTCATCAAACCCCTCAAATGGCTTCATACTTAGTACAAAATCTAAAGTCCTTATCTGGCCTATAAGCCCCATATGATCTGGCCCTGGACACCACTCCCACTACATTGCTTACCACTCTGCCCTTTCCTCACACCTCACCCATCACACTGGACTTCTTGTGCCTCAGGGCCTTTGCACATGTTAACATGCTGCCCAGGGTTCTCTCCCTCGCTTCCTTCAGGTCTCCGCTCAGATGTCACCACCTCAGGGAGACTTTGCCTCACTATCTATCTGGTCACTTTCCCTGCTCTTGCCCCTCACAGCACGATCACTACCTGACAATACGTTTTTTTTCCCACTGGCCACCTCCCTAACTACAGGGTCAGCCCACAAAGGCAGGGAATTCATTTATGGCAGATAATGAGCCCTTAGTACCAATTTGTGGATCAATGAACATATGATTCTAGAAAACCTGGAATTGGCAAAGCATGGCACACAGATTACAGAGTGGTTTTATGATGTAGAAAGCATAACACAGATACAGCATTACAACATAGTTTTGAGGCTAAGTCCATTCTTCTCCATTCTTCCTGCCTCTCCGTCTTAGCTCAGAGTCAGGAGCCACAAATCCTTGCGCCACTGAGGAAACAAGCAGGCACTCCTACTAGGAATGTGACTGGCTCCCCGATGCAGGGAGGGGTGTGGCTCAGGCCCAGAAGCCCTCACAGCACACTGGACACAGCAATCGGAGCTGGGGTCTTAACAGAACTGAGAATGTTCCTGGGAGCTTTGACCCTGCGGTGGGAAACTTCAGACAGACAAGAGCTGCAGAGGAGCAGCGGGAAGGACCTGGCCATCATTTATTTGAGGCCATTTATCTGAGGCTGATCTACAATGAGGAATTGGAGGGTCCAAATGGGTAATGAGCTGCCTGAGTGGTGAAGCTAGAAAGGGGGCCTGGGCTCCCCAGGGGAGGGCTGTGCTCAGTACCTGTCTGAGCAGGAAGACCTACTGCACATGTGGCTCTCCCCTCTGCTGTGAGCTCCTGGGGGAGGAACAGGCTCCTGGGCACTCTGAATCTGGCACATGGTGGGAAGAAGGGCTGGCAGGCTGGCAAGAAGGAAGTCAACCTGGGAGGAAAAACCTTGATCCCACACTCCCCATACTAGGATACGGAGCAGTGTGCCTGCGGGCTGTAGCCGTGAACAAGCTGTTAAACCATTATCATCTCACCTAAACCATTATTTTTATTTTACACTTAAGCGCGCGCGCGCGCACACACACACACACACACACACCCCTCTCTGCCCTGCATCTCCGAAGCCCTGCCCATGAATTGGTAACTTGAAGCATGAGACAAATTTGGGTGGCAGTGTGCCCATTTGGCAATCCCCTAGGACAGTTCATGGAGCCCCTGCTATCTCAGTAAAATTTTCATGGTATTCTAGGTCCAAACAAACAGTTCTATCTGGGAAGTAGTAAGGTCTAAACAACCTCCGAAAACCTAGCTTTGCAAGACACCAAGTCATCAATAGGAATATAGATCTAACATTGAAACTGAACCACCCAGCAAATACTGATGCAGACAAATGTTAGAAAATCAGACACCTCTGGGAGTTTGCTGTGGTACCCTGCGGCGCCTTGGTAGTCTGGGAACCAAGGCCCTACGACATAAAGTCACGCTCCTCTGCTGTGTAAAATATTCTGATGGAACCATTTTGGGCGTCCTGCCTGATGAGTGTCCTCCATTTTAGGTGTGGCAGGGTGACCACAAGAACTGTCTGAGGTCCCCACAGGCACTCCAAGGCGACTATGGGAGTCCTGTGCAATCTTTCTGCCCTATGAGCTGTTTCTACTTTCTGTGTTTAGTGGGAAGGAGCACCAACCAGTGCAGAGCTCAGGGGGCCAAACGCAACATTTGCCAGGAACAGAAAAGAAAAAGAAGTGGACAGGAGAACATAGAAAGAGTAACTTCTTAACTAGACCAGGCTCCTGCCACAGCCCTGCCACCAGCTGGCTGGGCCTCCAGGCAAGTCCCTCCTGGCAGTAGGTTTTGAGGACCCCCATTTGTCAATTTAGGCACAGAAAAGGGGTACGTCAAAAGACCACCCAAATGGAGCAGATCTGAGTTGATCTTTTATTACAGATTAACTTTTCACTTTTATTATAAAAGACAGCATACTTACAGAAAAGGGCACAGACAGACGGACAGACAGGTGCTATTCCCCCTGAATTTCAACAACTGGCCGGTTCCTGCTGATGTTGTGGCCCAGTGTTAACAACTCCAGTCCCAGGGCCAGTCAGCAGGCCAAGGAGCTTTGCCAGCTTCCGAAAGAGCAAAGAGACAAGAACAGAAGGGCCCTTTCCCCATCCGTTTACAACACTGGAGTATAAAATTCCCTTCCAGGAAGTAGTTGCAGCTTTCATTTATTATGTGAAACTTCTGGTCAGTAAACAGGCTGATCAAACAACATGGCACTGACATAAGAGCAAGCCCATTGCCTGATGCAGCAACAAGGAAGGAAGGAAGGAAGGAGGCCAGCAAGCGCTTTAGTCAGCCCCTTCAGCAAGCAAATTATCCAGCAGCAAACAGTCACTGTCACCCTCAGGCATCCCAGATGAGGGTCTGGCATCCACCCCAGCTGCAGTGTGAAGAGGTCTGCTGAGGTTCACACACCTCTGCCAAGGTTTAGTGGCTGCAAGGCGAGAGGAAACCTGAAGGAAACAAAGCCTGCTCTTGCCTAACAGCTCATCCTCCCAAGACTGAGAGCTCAGAGGAAAGTAACCTCCCCAAGGCGGCCTGCTAAAGAGCAGTGCTCAAAAGAGCAATCGGGCCAGACTCCTCCCCAGCTAGTGTCCACA